GAAGGGCCGGTTGGATGGGGCTTGGAGCAGCCTGGTCTGCTGGGAGGTGTCCCTGCCCATGCAGGGGGGTTGGGACTAGGAGATCTTGAAGGTCCCTTCCAACTCCTACCATTTAATCATTCTGTGAAATAACACAAAGTTTGATGACACCCATACAGATATTTCGCTTGTGAAAAGAAGGTGAAAATTGTTCTTTGCAGCCCCTGGACCTGGAGATGCTGCCTCTGCTGCCCTGCACCCCATGGGGGGGACATGCTGCTCTGCTGCTGCAGCCCAGGAGCAACAGGGGTCAAGTGAGTTTCACAGCACAAGGTCCTTTCCTGTGGCACAGCTGGAGGTGTCTTTAAGTTTAGAAGATTTGACACAGTGTGGCACGAACAGCAAGTATGTCTAAGAAGAACAGCATTTCCAAGAACTGTGCAGGCTTAAAAAAAAAAAAGGCAGTTTTGTCTGAAAACCACCTAAAATATCCATGCCTGTGGAATGCAGATTTGGCAATACATGCTGCAAGAAATTATTATAACTAACAGTGCAAATTATTGCTGAATTCTGTGACTTAATCTGATGAAATTACAGACTTGTCAGGCAAAACAGTTCTCACACCTAAGACACAACACCCCACTGTACTCCAGGTTCACAATATTCAAAAGTTACACTTTCAAGACATGTTTTAATAAATTAACTTTTATTGAAAATATCACATTAGCCTTTATTTTGCTTATTTGCCCCAGTGCAAAATGAAGCTATTTAACATGAAAGTTGTAATAATAGAACTACAAGCAGCTTCATAAAATGAAAGACCAAATACACTTATAATACAATCAGACTCTTTAATCTGATGTATAAGGAATTGTGGGGTGGAAGGGAATAAATCTCGTTTTAGGGTCTGATACAACAACCTTCTTGTTTTAACACGTCTCTGTTATTAAAAGCCACTGTTTAGCAGTATAACATGCATCTAAAAATTGACAATATGGGGCATCATCCATTAAATATACTATTTGTAGACAAGGATCTTAAGGAATGGGGAGAAGGATTAAAATAAAAAGCACCAGGGCTCCACAGCCCCCTGGGAAACAAGGTGTTTTGCAGGGAGAGTGTCATGCCATTTGTCAGCAGCCTAACCGGTCATGCCATGAGGACTGGAATTTGGTCCATCTCCTGCAAGCTGGCTGTTAAGAAATGCACTTTGGAAAAGCAGCCCCAGGGTGACTTCAGACACCCAGCTTGTTGGCCTGGGTGAGGACAACTTTCAGCACGGGCATGAAAGCAGAGGTCTCGCTGAAGTTGCTGGTGCTGACAATGTGGGTGTGGATGTTCAGACCTTCCTGGTAGTTGCGGGTCTCGATGCTCTTCACCATGTTGTGCAAGCCACTGATGATGGCTGGAGAGAGCTGCAAGGAAGCCAGGCCAGACAACTCAGCAGAGAGGAAAAAAAAACAGCACACACAGTGGAAAAAACTGAAATCTTAAAAGTGTAAGGCCCTGAGGGAGGTGCAGCAGCTGGCTCCTGTCTTTAAAAGACAGCCGTCCTCAGAGCTCCACAACCCTGGGAACAGTCACTGGAATTCTAACTTCAACCAGGACATACCTTCCCTGCAGGGCTGCAAAGCCTTCACTGCCAGCCCCTGGTGCAATTCCCTGAGGTGGGAGACCTGCAGTGAGACTGTGGCACATGGAAAACCTTCTGAGCTTCGATGCCTTTGGGGTGAAGTTACTTTGTCAGGCCATTTTTGCTGAGCATGATAGGCTTAGATCTCTCTTAATCCTAAAATACTAAGAGATCCAGGCCCAATATATTCTGCCTCAGACTTCCTGGAAGTCTTTGAAAAAACACTTGAAGGGGGGTGGGAATGTGTAGTCTGAGGAAGAGGAGGCTGAGGGGAGACCTCATCAGTCTCTACACCTGCCTGAAGGGTCACTGTAGAGAGGTTGGTGCTGGTCTCTTCTCTCAGGTGATCACAGAACAGGAGGGAAGGGCTTCAAGCTGCACCAGGGCAGGTTCAGACTGGACAGTAGGAACAATTTCCTCACAGCAAGAGTGGTTGGACACTGGAACAGGCTGCCCAGGGAGGTGGTGGAGTCACCATCCCTGGGTGTGTTGAAGGGTGGTTTGGATGTGGTGTTGGTGGAGATGGTTTAGGGGAGAACCTGGCAGAGCAGGGATGGGGGTTGGACTCGGGGATCCCGAGGGGCTTGTCCAGCCTGAAGGCTTCTGTGATTCTATGATCTGCCTTCCATTCAAGTCTGTGGGCCTCCAATATCTAAAGCTTCTGCTTTGCTTTGTTTGTTGTTTTTTTTTACTCCAGGCTGTTTGCTTCTCACTTGCTGGGAGTGGGGGAACTTGATATGTTGGCTTCTTCTGCCAGCAGCTGGGGACAGAGACCCTTCCTTTTAATGCACTCACCCAGTGCCTGCTGAAAGGAGCTCTGCTCTTTGCCTCAGCCTGGTCCCTGCACAGCACCAGGAAGCTCTTTACACGTCCCGAAAACACTGACAAGTCTGCACAGGCACTTGGGGCCACGAGTGACTTATGGGAAATGCATGGAAACATCGGGAAGGATTTGAAACATGCTCCCAAAGAAAGAACAAGCACCTGCTACACCCTGCAGAGGGGTTCACAACACCCATCCAGTTCTTCCCCATACCTGCAACGTTTTGTGGGGGTGAAGAAGAAAAAAAAGCAGCACTTACTGTCTGTTCCCTAAGTTTGTCATATAGAAACTCCAGGCGTTTATTTGCATCATCCAGTTTCCTCTTGGTTTGCTGCAAGTGAGCACATTTGAAAAGAGTGGGTTTGATGACACCACACTGATCTGATACCATTGCAAAGAGGTCCACAAAGCACATGAAATGCCTTTTCTCAGCCTCTTCCTAACACATAATTTGAGTTCTTTGCTCTGTAATTTTCTCTCCTCAAAGCCTACAGCCACAGCTGCTAGAGAAATGCATTTTTTTATCCACTTTTTTTAAAAAACAGCTACAGAAATGGAAGATTTCAAGCCAGAAAAATGAAACTGTAATCAAGCACCAAGGTTACAACTACAGAAGCACAAAAAACAGTGGGCAACAGCAGTAGAAATGGCATTAATGCACAAGAGTAAGGGAACTTCTTCCTAAATCAGTATGGATATCCATCCATCTTCACTTAGAATAGTGCCATTTCTCCTGGCAACTGGAAAAGTTGACCTGGATTAAATAATTGCCCAGACTGAAAAGAACAAATCCAACAGGAATGCTCCAGCTCAGGGGTGAAGACAGACTAGTGGCTGCCTGCTGTGCTAAGAACTAGGGAAACCTGTTTGGATGGCAAAGGGTATAAAGGAAAACACAGCACATGGGTCTCATGTGGAAAACACTTTGCAATACTTATGTTGTCTAGGAACCAAGATAAGGAAAAAGTACCCTGGGAGGGGCAGATAACTGGCTTATTCTTTTGGACTGGCTTAAATCTCTCAGATCCATGACTTTGGAACATTTGTTTCAAAACCTGTGAAAAGGTGTACATGCTATTTTAATTTTCCAGATGGTCAGTTGGGGCAAAGAGGAGTAACTGGTGTTTAATAAACAGCAAGACATCTCTCCAGCCACAGGAGATCAGGTGGAAGAAGAGCAAACTGCTCATTCTCTTCCCTCTTTGCTTCCTGTTCCCATTTTCCCCTTCAGAAAGTAATAACTGAGGAGCATCTGCTTGTTCTGACAATAACTGACACAGTCAGGGTAGTGTCTGTGTGCCAGAAATGTTTGCTCTGCCTAAGAAAATCAGAGAGAAGGGGCACTCAGAGGAAGAAAACGTCAAAGGGTCTTGTGCAAAATGTGACTTCTATCACTGCACTCTACAGCCTAACCTTTCAATAAAGAACTGTGAGCAATCAAATGCTGCTGAATTTTTGCTGAACCTTATGGGATTTGTCCAAAGAAAGGCCTATGGCCTCAGAAGTCTTCTGTCAAGGAATGTGTGGGTGAGCACACCCTGAAACTGCTGGGCTGAGACCCCCAGGGGAAAGGAGGAGCATGTCTGTGCAAATGCCACGTCTCAACTAGCTGAAATTATGCAGCAGATGTCAGACAGGGGTGACACTGAACACCCAAGCCACTGCCAGAGCCCTCAGACAGCTCAGCTCCCTGTCACCTCAACAGGAGCCTGAGGCTGCTGGGCTGGCCAAGCCCATGCCCTGCACAAAGCCCCCTGCACACCCCCAGCCTGACCTCCACCCACCTTTCAGCACAGGCTGGGCAGTCAGCATCTGGGCTTTTACTTACTGACCACTGGAGAGAAAAGCTTGGAGACAGGTGACTTGTTCACCAAGTACTGGCTGCCACACAAGGCCTTCTTCCCATCCAACTGCAGTGGTCATGCTAAAGCTCACAACCTCCCACTTCTCTGCTAACCACGGTTTCCTTTTTGAAATGAACTCGTGACCAGAAATCCCAGACCCAAAGCTGAGGCATGTCCTCATGTTTGTGAGCCTCAGCTCAGACCTGGTGCTCCCTGCTCTGCACTGTAAGAAGAAGTTAAGCTCATGTCCAGGGCACGTCTCCACAGCAATGACCTGACATAAGGAGGGGCAGCCCTTTGTGCAGGTTGCACAATTTTTACTTAGTTCTTTCAAACTGTACTGGGAGAGGCTGTGATGTCTGGCTGTGCTGCTGGTACCAGTGCATTCCCCCAAACACAGGGAGGACTGTGGGGACACTGCAGAGACCTACCGGGTCGGAGGCAGACAGCAGGCACCTCTGGATAAGAGCTTCAAATGTGGTCTTCAGAACCAGGTGCTCCTCAGGGATGGGCTTCTTGGTTATCTTCTCTGTTGGCAGTGCCTGCACATGCTGAGACACAGAGAACAGGTGAGGCTTTTCCAGGTCACTGTGACCCCATGTTCTTTTCAACTCAACCAAGTGGCATTATTAGCCAGCTTGTGTCAAACAACTCCTGTTCCCTGTGGATGTGACATGATCAGCAACTGCTGTCACTCCAGCTGGGACACTGCAGAAGGAAGCAGCTTCTTGTTCCATGCTGCCTAGACTATTAACTGCAAAGAGGCAGTGTCTAGGTGGAGATGACAGTAGCAAAAGGCCAGCAGGGTACAAAGCTAGTGCCTTCACAACCCTGCAGTACACTTGGGAGGCCAAGAGGATCCCAACCTGCAAAGCTCTGCTGGGAATTGTGCAACGCCTGGCCTCTGTTACCTGGATGGCATTCCCAGTGGGGGCCCCAGGGGCTCCCTCTGTGCTGGGTTTGGAAGCAGCAGGTGGCAGGATGCAGGACCCCAGGGGCTGGGGAGCAGGAGGGTAGCCCCCCTGCAGCACAGGCTGCCCTGCAGGCTGGAAGCTGGGAGTGCCCGTGGATGGTGCCGGAGCCGAAGGCATCTGGGACTGTGGATCCACCAGGGGGTTCATGATGGGGGAAGTGATGGGAGGGAAGTTATCGGGGACCGGGGGAAAAAAAAAAAACCCAAACAGTGCTTTTATGCTGCTGTGCCAGCCACAGGCAGAGTACAAGCCCCAGCTCCTACAGACTTCCCAACCCACAGCGACTGCACTGAGCCCCCAGGACACAGACATCACAAGGGCAGGCAGCACAGGATTTCACTCTGGCTAAACAGCCCCATTCCACTGGATGCAGCTGCAGAGTAGGAAGTCCTCTGGGGCAGCAACACCTTCCAGAGTTTCCAGTCCTGTGTGCTCTGACTGTCCTCCTGCCCAGGAGGCAGGAGCAGTCTGCCCAGCCCGTCCCCAGCCACGAGAGCTCAGTGCAGCCACCTCAAATCACAGCCCCTCTCCCTCTGCCAAGG